TTATTTTATTCAAATATATGGGCATAAATGATTTTCCATACAAAATCACCTCGTCATCATTTTGCAAACACGTGCATATGTTGGAAGTGTGGGAAGGAGACAAAAAGTATGTATGCGTATGTAATGCGGCTTTTGATAAACAGAGGCGCGCTATTTATAACCTAATCGCAGCGTGTGTACATATGTAAATACATACATACGTACATATGTTGATTGCAGTTAAGGTGGATCATACATATGTACATACATATTATATATGTACAAACATATATGAACACATGTATGCATAATACGCGAAGACTTTTCGAAGTGAAACAACATTTAGAAAAATTCCAATCCAAGAATAAAAGTAAAGGTGAGGACGTACATAGATAAAGAAAAGGATAAAGGCCAAGGTAAAAATGAACACAAAAACAAAGTTGAGTAAAGATAAAGGCAAACATGAAGACCAAGGTAAATTTAAACACTTTACTTATATGTATAAGTGCAAAGGTGAAGGGGAATATGTATATGAAGAATATGATAAACATAAAAATAAAAACAAAGATAAATATAAAGAAAAAGATGCGGATGAGGATACCGATAAAAGTATAGATGAAGATAGAGGAAGAAAGATTAAAATAAAGGTAGTTGTAGAGAAAAGGATATAGATAAAGGCACAGAGACTCAATCTCGGAACTATTTCGGGATTTTAGGGATTCTCGGGACTTATCGATATAATCGATATTTTGTTGGTTTTTTTTATCGATTTTGTTATCGAAATTTTTATCGATATTGTTATTGATTTTGCTAACGATATTTTTGGAACTTATCGATATAATGATCGATATTTTTATCGATTTTGTTATCTCTTTATTATCGATTTTGTTATCGATTTTATTATCGATTTTGTTATCGATATTTTTATCGATTTTGTTATCGCTTTTGCTAACGATTTTGTTATCGATATTTTTATAGATTTTGCTATCGATATTTTCAGAACTTATCGATATAATGATCGATTTTGTTATTTATTTTGCTATCGATATTTTCACTTATCGATATAATGATCGATATTTTTATCGATTTTGTTATCGACATTTTAATCGATTTTGTCATCGGTTTTGTTATCGATATTTTTATCGATTTTGTTATCGATACTTTCGGAACTTATCGATATAATGATCGATTTTGTTATTTATTTTTCTATCGATATTTTCGGAACTTATCGATATAATGATCGATGGGTACTTGCGTTTTCCGAAATTACGCCAAAAATTGGTGACGTGTTGGGGCCACTACGCGTGGGTGAATGATAATAGGTGAGTAGAATATTTTAATTTTATTCCAAAAAAAAAAGCTTTAAGTTCTTTACTTTTTCCTAGAAAGTTAACACAGTAAATAAGCTTAATGAAACGCAAAAGCTGTGAATGCGAATTCGGCAGGGTTTTGACTTTTCTGTTATTAGAAAAGCAGGCTTACAAATACACATAAAAGTGTATTTCCTTTGTTATTTCATTCGCCTCAGGCAATTCTCAACAGATGTATGAAAGACGTTTTTCATATAGAAGTGGCATGAAATAGAATGAAATGCGTGGAAACACTAGTGTTCAGTAAAAGCAGAATTGGGCCACTACTTCCTTGAGGAAACTCTGAAATTGTCGTTGATGAGCAGCGAAGGAAAGACGTAGTCATCTTTTTCGCGAATTCTTGGATCGTTGACTCATACTTCCACACGAAGGCATAATTTCCCATTAAAAATGCCCTCTATGAGTGCCAGGACGAAGTTATTCCATATTAAAAGTAAAGTGTTTGTTAAACCATTTACTATCCCGGATGAGCCAGTGGCACTACAATAATTTCGTTCCTGTATTTCCTCAAAACTATTGAAAAAGCGTATTTTCAAATGTTTGGGATGCCTTTTCTTGAGAGAAATCGGTGGAGTATTGGTGCTAAAGCACAGTGCGACTCTTCTTGATTCTCGCTCATAAGATTCTTGATATCTCAGCTCTTCAACTCTCCTTAGTAGATCAAAAATCGGTGGTAGTAGGGAGTCGCTTGTCTCGTCGGCTTTATCTTTCCCTTCCAGGAACCCAGCAGAGATAGGTTTGAACGTGACTCAGGGAAGCCACGACAGATACACGACATTTCCGACTTTACTACTTTGGAACCTAAAGTTTTCAAACCTATCTGGCTGTCAAGGAATACAGTGAGGTTTTCTAACGGAGACCTACTATTTCGTATGAAAAAAATGAAGGCTTCTCTATGGCAAAGATATCCGCGTGAAGGACACTGCAGTTAGCCAAAGGTGTAAATGGAAATATCGTCATTTACCGACAGTAGGCCGGCGTCCCAATCTTCCCTTGTTGGAAAATGCATGGGAATCTTAAGAATAATGCCCCAGGTTGACGTGAGGTAATCAGTTTAGACATCTACGTCGGGAATCAACTCGGCTGCATGTCCGTAGTTGGTCTGCTTCCAGAATTTTGATTCCTGTAGTATAAGCACCCCTTTTGCGGCTGCCCCTGTTACGAATAAGCCCTACAGATATTCTCAATATTTCTGGTCTGTCCCGAACTGAGATGTGTAAACATGCGGATTCAAAACGAAGCGTGATATTTGGTACATAGACGCTCATATTCTACATACATAAGCGCCATATTAAAAGACCCTCGTGGGTCCGCCACTGACTGGCATGTAGTTTAACCCTCCCCCCCCCGCGCTGGATCCGCCACTGATCTGCACGCTTGAACGCATTCCTGTGACAAACAAGAAGTCTACATTTATACCGCTATTTGAATTCCAGAGAAATTTTAGGCGAACCAAATCAGAACCAATTATTATGTACTTTCTCCCTCTTCTTGTCTTGCCTTATATCTACAACTTTGTTGAGAATTAGGGACATAAGCACTGAGAATTTACTTTTTTGCTATATTTCTTCAGCTCCTTTAACATCAATAATCAGGTTTTGCTCAGCGCACGCAGCTATCGCGGACGTCCGGTGAATGACAGCAATATACAAGACTTCGTTAGCGAATTGGCAACCAAATACATACCATCGGACTTGCCACAATGGCAGGTGATTGTCATACCCACTGCAATAGCCACTGCGAGTGCGCCACCAGAGACCGCAACCGAAAACACAACACCTTTGGCACCGATGTCACAAACTATGGTATACCTACCTATGCGCTTAACGATCATTTGCGAGCAAGTGACTTATTTTTCTTATCTCGCCCTAGGATGATCACTACTACGTGATGGTCAAGGTACATCATCTAATCATTGCCGAAGAGGAAGATCTGCACATCAGCGAAATACTGATGCTGCAAGAGAATGGACGCAAAGCTGTGATCGACATCGATCAAATGGGCAATGGAGGGAGAGCACAACCACTTTCCTGTTTTGTGCGCGAACCCGTTCACATACCCCGCCTCATCAATCACATAGGCGCCCAAATAGTGAATACCTGGAATGCTTTCATCTACGAGTACGAGTCACTGGAAACGCCGGACGGTTATAGGCCAGTACCCATCACCAATGTTACCCAACTGCTTTCAGTGCTGCTGATCGNATCACATAGGCGCCCAAATAGTGAATACCTGGAATGCTTTCATCTACGAGTACGAGTCACTGGAAACGCCGGACGGTTATAGGCCAGTACCCATCACCAATGTTACCCAACTGCTTTCAGTGCTGCTGATCGTCGTGGTGAATGTGTGCCTGGACTACAGGCGCACTATGCAGTTGCACCAAAAGCTGCGTCGCCGCTACAATGTGCAGAAGGATAATTGCGGGCGGTTGAATGTACTCACCACGTTGCTACTCAAAGAAATCGATAGACGTAATCTCTCATGGCCTGTCGCATGGATGGCCATTTGCACATCGTGGCATCCAGCGAATATAGCCAAGACATGGACCATGTTCCTGTGGCGCGTCAATATTAACAACACGGTGCTGCTGCCCTATCGCATCTACTGTGAACTGATGGCCATGAGCGATATTGTCTTCAAAGGGCAAACGTATCTTACGCATACACACATCGGACGTTTATCGATCTACCTGCCGATGATATTGTATGCACAAATAGAATTCATTAAAATATGCTATGAAATCTTCAAAGCGCCAGTTAATATCTACGAGGAGCTCTTCGTGAGTCCCTCCAAAGAAGCTAATATTTTGCAAATGAAATCCTACTCTGGCCGCAAGATCGTCTCATTCTCCAAGTCCATTAACGCGGCCGAGCTACGGCAGCGGCACAATTTCGGCGCAGAGGTGCGCGAGTCCGACTTTGTGCTGTCGTGTTTGGCTGGCGCCTTGCGCGACTACTTCGCCATGCATAGAAATATGGCGCCAGTGCCTGAGGTGCTCAATACCACATGTCGCACCATTTCTAAGGGTTACTTCACCGAAAAGACGGGCAATAAGGCGGAACACATCGGCGGCGTCGTTTTTCTGCAACTGCCGCTCGAGGCGCCTGGATGGGAGCATGCGCGCAAAATGCATTCGATCATCGACAATATACGACGCAAGCAGATTATGATCTATCTGGCGTCGATGGGTCAGACGCGATTTGATCTGCTGACCGCCTTGGTGCCGCGTGTGCTAACAAAGGTCTGTTTGAATTTCTTTTCTCACAACTTCCCCGTTACCCTAACGGAAATACATGGCTCATCGCCGGACTTTCAAACGCTCTGGGGTCATGTCGTGGAGGATGTGCTACTCTTCAGACCACCGCAATCGAAAACATGTAGGGCTATTGAGTATTTTATTTAAAGAAGTAACGAAGTTTGGGTAAAAATCTGTTTCCTCTTCTTTTTTAGGTTTATCGCTGAATATTCACCGTTTCGGGGACCGATATCGTTTAGCTATAATGGCCGACACGCAGTTGGGACCGGATCATGCTCTGATATCACGCGCATTCGAGAACTACATAGAAACTGTAGCGCTTTAAAAGAATTCTTACTTATTTATTAATTTCTGTGATTAAGTCGTTTTGTAATAAATCTGGGTTGACAATATTCCGAGTAGGAAGTAAAGTTGTTTTCGGGTATTTTTCGGGTTGTAGACGGTCGGTATTGGTATACCATCGACGTGTAGATTGAACTGCGGTTTCATCTAATTCGTTCAAGTAGTGAAAAGCTTTGTTTGTATTGGAGAAGGTAAGTCGCCTTTCAAAGGCAGTTTATCAATGCGATAGCCAGAGCAGTAAACGACGAAGTTCATTTAAAAATGTAGGAGAAGTGTTTTCTCGAACGTCAATACGTCCTGTGTTGGCTTCCGCAGCTACAGACGTTTGAAATAATGAGAGTGGCCAGTGACAGGACACTATAATGGTGGGTTGATTGGACGAGCAAAGAGGTGGTTGGTGTCGTGGGCAGAATCTCCACATGCTCACACCTACTCTCACGGTTTTCACCCTCCAAGGAGCGCTGCAATATCAGCGTGATGTACCACTGGACAGCAGGTTAGACGATAGCGCTCAGTTTGGTTCCCACGACAACCGGAGCTACGTAACCGGAGCGACCTAGATTTATATCTGGCCGCCCCAGCATAACTCCCCAAAAACTCGGCGGAATTGTGTAAGCGTTCACAACAACATTTCGCGCAGTGTGGTGTGAGATGAACGCTAGACTTCCGCTGGTGATCGTCATAGAGCACATTTTAGTCCACGAAGTTCAGAAACTTCGTTCCTAGGATCGGAGCAAACAATATACCAAGTTGATCCATAAATACTGTTACNAATTTCTGTGATTAAGTCGTTTTGTAATAAATCTGGGTTGACAATATTCCAAGTAGGGAGTAAAGTTGTTTTCGGGTATTTTTCGGGTTGTAATAGACGGCCGGTATTGGCATACCATCGACGTGTAGATTGAACTGCGGTTTCATCTAATTCGTTCAAGTAGTGAAAAGCTTTGTTTGTATTGGAGAAGGTAAGTCTCCTTTCAAAGGCAGTTTATCAATGCGATTGCCAGAGCAGTAAACGACGAAGTTCATTTAAAAATGTAGGAGAAGTGTTTTCTCGAACGTCAACGTTTGAAATAATGAGAGTGGCCAGTGACAAGACACTATAATGGTGGGTTGAGTGGACGAGCAAAGAGGTGGTTGGTGTCGTGGGCAGAATCCCCACATGCTCACACCTACTCTCTCACGGTTTTCACCCTCCAAGGAGCGCTGCAATATCAGTGTGATATATCACTGTACAGCAAGTTAGGCGATAGCGCTCAGTTTGGTTCCCACGACAACCGGAGCTACGTAACCAGAGCGACCCAGATTTATATCTGGCCACCCCAGGATAACTCCCCAAAAACTCGGCGGAATTGTGTAAGCTTTCACAACAACATTTCGCGCAGTGTGGTGTGAGATGAACGCTAGACTTCCACTGGTGATCGTCATAGAGAACTTTTTAGTCCACGAAGTTCAGAAACTTCGTTCCTAGGTTCGGAGCAAACAATATACCAAGTTGATCCATAAATACTGTTACTTCCTCGATCTTACTGTGGAGTTCATGGCACTGAAACTGTAAGATTTTAAATGGAGCCAAGACCTCCTTGGGAGCTTGCCTTCAGCGGCTTATTAAGCGAGATAGAGGCAGACGGTGAGCACCCGAAATGTTGTTGCCACAACGACCCCGCCCAGATCGGTTACTCGCTCAATCGGTATGTTCAAGCTCAACTAATGGGAGACCCAAAAGCGTGCAGCTTCTATAAGGTCTGTACATACGGANCTTCCTCGATCTTACTGTGGAGTTCATGGCACTGAAACTGTAAGATTTTAAATGGAGCCAAGACCTCCTTGGGAGCTTGCCTTCAGCGGCTTATTAAGCGAGATAGAGGCAGACGGTGAGCACCCGAAATGTTGTTGTCACAACAACCCCGCCCAGATCGGTTACTCCCTCAATCGTTATGTTCAAGCTCAACTAATGGGAGACCCAAAAGCGTGCAGCTTCTATAAGGTCTGTACATACGGACAGTGGCGTTAGTTGACTAGGGTTTAGTGGGCATTCGAATAGATATCTCGAGTCGTGGGATGTCTCTCCGCATTCCTGGCACTCGTCTGGCACATCTACATTTACTCCGCTCAGGTACGAGTCCATGTCTGGTGGTTGCGTGCCCTAAACGGCATTCACAGGTCGAGAGTCTACATAACTCGAGACTGACTCCCAGTGAATGTCGGACTAGAGGTTGCTTAATGAACCTCCGGGCCTCGTCCGCCAGTTCGTACAGATGCCTTCTGACGTGCCGTACAACAACGTGCCGATACAACAACAATAACAACAGCAACTAAACCGAAAAAGAGTTCGGATGGAATCGTCTCTTTCATACGTGGTAAAAGTATAATATGCACATACATACGGCTCTGGACCGGGAATGAACTCAGTGTCAGCCGAAGAAGAGCAACAGCTCTTATTGGGATAAAATCGGCTGTCGGGGAAATGAGTATTCGAATGCCTAGGTAGGTGGTAAAAAACAAAAACTAACCGTCCTCCGTTACTTTTAAATGTCCTAACTTCGAAGCTATGTTTCGAATCACATCGTTCAACCTAAAAAAAAAATATGTTTATTTAGAATAGGTCCATCCAATATCAAACAATTGTTACGAATTGTTACTAGTACTTGCAAATTTTTACTGGAAATGCATTCTATAACCCAAAATATTTGCAAGAGAGAGCGAATTCGAGAACGTAACAACCCGAGAGAGCTGCAAATTCTTGCAAGTAAAAATTTTACTAGCAGGAATTTGCACGAGACAAATAGTAAGGTTATGTTTCAAATTCAAATGTAAACAAACTGTTCAAGAGGATTATTTGATGGAATATAATTTGCTGGATAATGTGCCTTCGCTAACTCGCAAGAAGTTGCAAGACTTTACAGGAATTTACCAGAAAGCGTTCCCGTACTCGGTTCTCTGGCTTATTTTGCCTTTTGACAGTTTTAAAGGTTTTAACCCAGAGAAGTTGGGGAACGCAACTATAATTAGTGAAATGAAAATATGGATGAAAAATATAATCTATTGTATATTTTTTTTATTTTTATGACGATGGGAACTATTAGTTGCGATCCCGTACGAGTCCGGACTAGTCAGAAATAGTCAGAATCAGTCAGATTTTACTGGAAATCGATCCCGTACTCGGTTCTCTGACTATTGAGAGGACAAAAAAAGAGAGTAAATTCGGTTCTCTCTCTGTCAGAAGTTACCAGTTTTAGTCCGAGAATTTTTTACTGGTAACAGGTTTGTTCGTCGAGCAAAAAATTTTTACGAATTTGTACGAATTATCACGATTTTTGCCCAAATCGCGTTCGTGCAGACCAAAAATTTATCCAACAATCAAAAATTGTGAGAGCAAAGTGACAGTTCTCTTGGAGAGAAGTTGCAAATTCTTGCTGGAAAAAATTTTCCCAGCATGAATTTGCGCATGGTTGCATTTTTGTCTACAATAATTTGAATAAATTAGTTCGTTAAATTTAAAAATTTATAAACACGAGCGATTTTGTTATGAAAAAGGAAGTAAATAATTGTTGATATAATTAATTTAGTTAATGATTTGAAAAATTCTATAAAAATTTTTTATGTTTGAAATGCAACCGTGGAAACCAGCTGCCAAGGAAACTTGCAAATTCCTGCAAATTTGCGTTCGTGCAGAAATTTGCAAGTTTCTCAACATGAGAGAGAATTTGAGAGAATTTTTTCTTACTCTCTGATATTTTGAGTGTTGGATAATTCTTGCTGGATTTTCGACGAACAAACCTAAATTCTGGTAAATGTGTCAAACGATCAGCTGTAGTGTGTTTGGCAACCAAATTGTAAACAAAAGAAACCTATACATAGCGAAACTCCCACCTCCACCTCAGGGAGTCTCCTTAGTCTCATACGCGGATGACTGTTCCATCATGGCAACGGGCAACAACATCGACGGCATGTGCACACTGCTCAACCGCTACCTCGAGGACGTGTCCCGATTTTTCACAGCGCGCANAAATCTCTGAAGTCTTCGAAAACAGTGGTGAGTAAGAAGAGTTCGCAAGATTTGCGCAAAATGGTCAAGTCACAGGTCAAGCTGCAAGAAGTGATTGATGAAACCTTAAAGCAAATGTGTTCCACTGATCCTGAGCCATTGCCTGAGGGTGTAGATTGCCGTTTAAGAGATCAAGGTGAACAAATGGGTTTACAGAAGACATCCGGCTCATGCAAACGCTGCACTGATAAGATATATTCGCGTTCAAGTCAAAAAGATGTTATGACTGAGATTCCCAAGGGCGACTTTTTGGAATGTCGCTCGGGCGACACACTCACGATTTCGGTGGATGATGTTGTCAACTCCAAAGTGATCAATCCCATGATACGTAAGCTACAGCGTATGTATCTGAATAATTTGCGTGAAGAAATGTCTCTGATGGAAGATCTGGAACGCCTGCCACATAAGGTTAACGAGGTATATAAAGCAACTATATTCAAGCAGAAAGAATGAGATGTGCAGGAGTTATCGAACAGGAACAGGAACCGAAGTATACGTGTAATATTCTTAAACATTTATTTTTTTGTAAACCGCAATTACGTGCCGCATTTTTCCGATTAAATAATGTTTGCATCGAAATTCATCTTTCAGCCTTAAACTATCTTACTTTATAAGAAAACTTAGCATTTGAACAAGTTAACCGCTTCTATAGATATCCTTGCAGTTATTTAGGAATTCCACCATCATATTGTAGGCGTCTTCATCGAGGCCGGGCTCATCTTCAGCAAATAAAATGGCCTACAGATTATAATAAAATAAGTTTAGTATTTGAAGAGCAAAGTATTTAAAGCGTTGTAACTTTACCTCTTTTCCATCGATGGCATCACCGCCAATTGGTTTTCCGATGACTTCTATCCAGCTGCCGACACGTCCACCAGTTGGATCTTGCAGTTTTACGCGTATCTTTTGTTTGTCCGTGGACATTGCAATGAGGTTTGTACCAGCTTCTTCTTCGATGCGCAAAATTATGCTCACGTATTGGCCATTGAATTTGCGCAGCATGCCGCCATTTACAAATGTTCGTGGTTCAAAAGCCGGTGCCATAATTGTTTAAAAATACTTTTAATGCAAGAAAATAAAACAATTGCAAAATGCCGCCAAACGCCACTGAAAATTGAACGTCAAAATCAGCTGTACGTAGTGTTTGAAAACGTAGTGCAGTTTTTTTTTTTTTTTTAAGTTGAACGCAACTCACACGTGCAATAAGACATTGATATGGCCTACGGAATGAGCGAAATAAACCTTACCGCAGAACTCCACAGGCAAACACCGATGGCCTACCAACTGTCATTTTGACGAGCAATATGATTGCAAGTTTTTGTGTGTGGGAACTTTGATGTCTTGAAATAAGCATTTGCCGCACGACGCCATCAAACACCATACTTTCAATTTCGGTGTTTAAAAACATTTAAATCTTAAAAAAAAAACTTGCTGAATAATTTCCGAAAACGTAATCATAAATAATCCAATAGGGAACAGATTTTTATTTTGATTTAATATCGAAATTTCATCGATGTTATCACCAGCACGCTTTCTTTCAAATGAAAATTTGGCTGTCAAACTATCAAATTGCCTACAATAGATGTCAAGCGATAAGCGCTGACATATATTGCAGCCCATTAGAAATAGGCGGTCTCCATTGGAAATATATTTTGTGACATGGTTATCACGACATCAACATGCTCGCTGTCATTTGCTACAGACGGCGAGCGGCTCATAAGTGATTTTATACTCAAAGCGTAAACATAGAAAGGAAAAACGCGGATGATGCAATTGAAATACTTATGACTTAGATTTTTTTATGTATGTGCTACTTAAATTTATTTATATATTACTTGCNACATGGTTATCACGACATCAGTGTTTTCCTGTGGAGACAGGGCCTTACAAGCGGCTTTTAAAACATANTAACGCACATGGCTTGGACGCATTTAACCGCGATGTGCACGCTGCAAGCACCAACACAAAACGGGGTTGTTGTTTTTGTNTAAAAAAATCGACTTTTTTCACTCTCTTGTTCTTCGTTCATGACGTTAACAGTAGCTACACACGACGAACATATCCGCGCACATGTGCGCCAACATGCTCGCTGTCGTTTGCTACAGACGGCGAGCGGCTCATAAGTGATTTTGTACTCAAAGCGTAAACATAGAAAGGAAAAACGCGGATGATGCAATTGAAATACTTATAACTTAGGTTTTTTTATGTATGTGCTCCTTAAATTTATTTATATATTACTTGCATGTATGTACATACATATANACCCGCAAGCCGCGCATGTGCGCGGATATGTCGTCGTGTGTAGCTACTGTTATTAAACACATGAACGAAAGACACAAGATCACATAAGAACAAGAGAGTGAAAAAAGTCGATTTTTTTAGCGGGTTCTATGCCATTTTGTTTCACTAGAAAAGTAAACAAAGCAAAGAAAACAACGAAAACCAAATTAGCCAAAATTATTGTCAGCCACTTTAAACGCACAATTTAGGTAAAATGATGCAACAAAATGCTTTAAAATGTGTTGTCATGTTGAATTAACTCTTCTTTACTTGAATAAAAGTGTAAAATAGTGGTGCTTGTGATGTAAACAAACGCTCAGCTGACGAACCCGCTTTCGCAAACTTTTTTCTCAAAACCAGTTACAAATACAACGTCGCGTTCTTACGTGATCTTGTATTTTTGGTTCATGACTTAAACATACTTCCTTTCTCATTTCGCCAAACAGCATGCAAACTAGCCTCGTTCAAGGAAAGAATTTTATTTTTCTTCGGGTTCATAATCTTTCATATAGTGAATTTCATCCGAAAATTTTTTGTCCGCCCATAGCAAAGAAGGTAAATTTACATTCTTTGATTTATAACATAATCGCAATGAAAACATATGCAAGTAAATGCCATCTTCTCTAGAGACCAAGTGTTATTTTCTATTCAAATTTATTCCCTAATCATGGCAACTCTCCGTTCAATCAGTCAAAAGTTCTGCCAAACAAACTGCAACCCTGCACTTTCGGGCCCTTTCGTTTGTGCGGAAACCCGGTGAAGATACAAAATCAATCCGAGACAAGTCAAATTCGCTACTTCTGCCAAAAATTTCAATTTGAAAAGTTCTAATTAAAAAAAAATTTCTTTGAAATTTTCGCATTTATTTCCTATTAAATTCTTTGTACAGCATGGCAAACATTTTTTAAAACAAAGTCTAGTTATTAATCGAAAGTGTGCAAGTGAGCATCACAAAGGAGTAATTTAAAGTAAAAAAATAAATGAAAAACCGTCAAATCGCTTTTTAACTTTTTTGCACCGCCCTCCCACCGGCAGCAGAGGAAGCACATCTTTTCCAGACTCGCGGAGGTTTCTGGACCTATCCGCAAAGAATAAACTAAATTGAAACATTTAATTTTGTTCAAACACACGAAAAATTGAACACAGAAATAATTGATTTTTCGCAATTGTGTGTGAGAGGAGTGCTGGAATTCACGACGCTTTGAAGTAGTGGATACAAAAAAATAAAGCGTCCAATAACGAGCCGTAAAAATGAGTAAGTTATTTTCCTCAGCAAGGATATGATTCAGTTTTGTAACTTCTTCCATGAAGTTGATTTATATTAGCATGCTTTTCGTACATATTTTCTGAGCTTCAAGGACGAAAATGCGTGTGATTGTGGTGGTTAGGAACGATTTGTTTTGACTGCAGTCCTAGATTTTTTTCCTTTTCAGTAATTTTTACCTACATACGCTTTTGTATGTACATATCTACACGCAAATGTGTGTGCTGCGATGTCGTCATCGTGGATAAAGCCGCAGGCGCACAACAACAAAAGCACTTATTGAGGAGTGCGTAAATAAACTCCAGGCAGGGGCGCACCCAGGAATATATTTTGGGAGGGGTTTATACTTCTGAAAATTCGCTTCAGATAAAATGATCATTAAAGTACATTTATGCAAGTTTTATGTACAGTATGTAATAAATAAATAAACTTTTTGAAGTTTCATAAATTGCATTTATTTACATAAAATTAGCAAAAAACTCAAACATTTGTAACCGACTTCGAAAAAGGGGTAGGTTATCAATTCGTCGGAATAGTATGCTAACGCACAACTTTGGACCACGTGAACCGATTTCAATAATTCTTTTTTTTTTATCGGAAAGATGGTACCTCTAGGGTCTTCCCATAATTTGAAATTACTTGTTTAATATAAAGCTCTATAAACACAAGATGCGCTCAATTTGCAAAAGTAATAAAAAAATTAAAAAAAGAGTTTTAATGTTCATTTTCCTCGATATCTGGTTTCTGGTTTTCGAATGAGATGGTGATTTTTTACGATTGCCTAATTTTTTTAATATTTCGAATACCGAGAAAATTAAATGAACTTGAATTTTTGTTATGTAGGCAATTTTGGTGGAACGAATTCGAAGTGGGCAAATTAAATCTTCGAATCCTTGTTAAGGACATATCAGTTGTAAACTCTTTTAGGCTCAGTAAGTGAGTATGCATTGCATATTTTTAGGTTTCATTCGCAGTTAAACTTTTAAGAGCTCTAAAAAAAAAAAAAACGAAAAATTCATATAAAATGGCGCACAAGAAATGGAATAGGAATTTTCTTCTATCAAAATTTCTTAAATCCATTTGCATCTCTCAAGAAAAAAATGCTCGTATATTTATTTCTTCAAGAAAATTTACAGCAAAAGCAAAGTGCTTTATAATAAAAAATATTTCTTGTGATTTTTCTTGAGAGCAGGCTTTAGGATACAGTTTGTATTTCAGGTTATTAGCTTTAGGGGGGGTTTGAACCCCAAAACCAACCCCTTGTGTGCGCTAATGACTCCAGGTATTTTTCTAGGTTGGTTAGGTGTGCTAGTTTTTTAAATTTATTTATAGTTAATTAGGTACCTCCTCGTGCATATTTAAAAGTAATTTGATTGAAATAGCCAAGTGGTCAGTTTATGTCCAATAAAAGATCAAAAAAAGCTTCTAAAACGTGTTAACGTACTAAAAAATATAAGGTAAATTCGAGTAATAATTAAACAATCTATTAAACGAAAGGTGTTTTGTTAATTTGAACATAAAAAAATATCTAACATGTTCAGATGATTGTTATCCAATTAAAATGTCTGATGTGCTACTATATCTATATTTCAGGCGAAGAGGAGAACGATAAAATTACTTTGGATCTCTCGAGAAAGCAATTGAAAAAAGTGCCAAAACAAGAAGATGCACAAAATGTGCGTGTACTCAAATTAGACGAAAATGAGCTACAAAAGATAGACAACATTGACTCATACCTAAAAATTGAAGTTGTAAGTGCGAAAAATTCCAGACTAAATGTATTTTTTTTTAGTAAAAAATCTATGTAAATAAATTTTTTAACTCTGCTTCCTTTGCAGCTATCGCTTAGCAAAAACCAGCTGCTTCGCATGTACGGCGTCTGTCGCTTACACTGTTTGCGTGAACTGAATCTCTCCTTCAATGGCATACTATCTATTGAGGGACTCAAGGACTGCATACATTTGCGGCATTTGAATTTGGAAGGCAACAATATTAAAACTATTGAACATTTAAATAATAATGTCAAACTAGAATATTTAAACCTGGCTGAAAATAGTATAGGCAGTATATCGGATATATCGTTTTTGAAAAACTTAAAAGTGAGGAAATTAAGTTCTTACTTAGCTTAAATTTATAAAAACTTTATGTTTTGTAGGAACTACATTTGCACGGCAACCGCTTAACGCATCTACGTCAATGTGATAAATATCTGCCTTCCTCATTGGAAGTTTTATCGCTAGCAAAGAATAACATTACCGATTTAAATGAGATTTGTACGCTATTAAATTTGTCTAACTTGCAAAGCTTAACGCTCAATGAAAATCCTTGTATTATGATGACCGGAAATGCAGAGTAAGTTCAAAGATATTTATGACGTAAGTTTTCTAAAACTTAAAACTTTTTCAGTGGTTTCGATCATCGTCCGTTTGTGTTGAACTGGTGCATGAGCTTGAAAGCTATTGACGGCTTCGTTGTCGATCCCATCGAGAGGTTTAATTTACTCGACTTTTTGTATAATTTTATGAAGGGTTTATAGTTACACCTTATTCGTTTCAGCCTCAAAGCGGAGTGGCTTTACAGTCAGGGTCG